CATGGTATGTGGGGTGCTATTAACACTTGTGATGTTTTGGGCAACCACACAGTAAACTGAGGTGGCCACATTCTGTATGGTGAGTGCTCGTACCCAACCTCTGCTCTGCAGTGTCAGCTGTCATGGCATTGCCTCCATAGCATTGGCCACGCTCTGGCTTTGAACAAATAGTTTGAGATTTCTGCTGGAACACAGCCTGAGCTGCCTGTCACCTGCAGTTGGGGATGTGCTGTTCAATTGCCCAGAGCAGGGAAGAGGATGCTTATGAGCCTTCTTTTTTTGAAGTCCACATAAGAGGTTGGCCCAGGTGGCATCATTTCGTGCCTTCCAAGCAGTTGAGAGGGGCCTAATGCTCTGTTTAAATTCTGAAACCCACCTTAACCCTAATAAGAGGGTGTGAGAACAAGCAAAGCTTGCTGAACTAAGTCACTGTGAGCATCCTTGGCAAGGGCTGAGGCACTTCACTTTGGTTGCTGGATCCCTATAAGCAAAGTCAAGACCAGAGTAAATGAAGGTCTGCTTTTTAGGATATTTTGTCTGCTTAATTTCCCAGTCCCTTGTAGCTATGCTGGGGGAAAGGTAAAATACTGTAAATTCATCCTCCCAAACTGACTCATCTCTATTTGTCTATCATCAGCTGTTTTCCCTTTAAAAATTCACTTCATGTAGATTCAAGGCAGCTATAAAATTTTTTGCAGTTTATTTTTTATTTAAATAGTGGCCCTAGAGTGATAAAATGTATGTTTTTAGAAAGTCATGTATATATTTTTAATCATTATCTTTTTCATTATCTTTTCTATTCAGGGTAGCATCTTTTCTGTAAGCATGGCAGGGTTGACCGACCATTGAACTTATGTTCTAAATCTAGTGTATTTGGTTTAGACTATTACCTCAGGCAAAAACGGTTCTAATTTCAAGAGGGACTAATTAGAAAAACGCATGTTTTTTTTCCTTGCAAACTGGTGCAAAGATGCCATCCAGTGTCCCTGCTGAGAACTGCAGCCCAGCTCTAGGAAAGGGCTGGTTTTGGCTTTCAGACTTCAATTAAAAAAATTCTGCTGTTCCTCAGTGGCTTCGTTGTTTGGATCTTTTTTTAATCATTATTATTATTTTTAAATTCCCGTCTTTCTCTCCCCAAATCCTTTATTTTTTCTTGCAGGTTGTCTGGCGAAAGCTGGGTGATGCTGCGAGCTCCAAACCCTCCATCAGGCAACATCTGTCAGGAAACCAGTTCAAGGGTCCCTTGTAGGAACACCATCCTGGCAACTGGAAGTGATGGATTCTGTGAAGACTAAAGAGGCAGAGCTCAGTGTTTCTGGCTGCCTGTTCTTTGGGAGTTGGGGTTGAGTTTTTTCAGGGTTTCCTTTTTTTCTTTTTTTTTCCCAGCATTTTTTTGTAACAATAGTGTAAATATGGCAGCTAAAGGCCTGATTTCCAGGCTGTGGTGCTCTGGAGCTACTGTTCACCGGGTAACCATCCAATAATGCCAGACTTGCATCATTTTTATTGTAGTTCAAACCTGCTTTGTTGTAATGGTCTGTTTGTAGAATTGACTAACTCAAGAGAATTTCTAAGAGGAACAAGAAGAACCCTTAACCTGCGGAGAAGTCACTGTTTGTATCGCTCCTGTCCACCCGCTTGTCAGTCATTCATAGCCAGGTTAGTGGCTCCAGGCAGCCATGAAAAATGCAATTCAAATTCATTGGCTTACTGCCTGCCAAGTTCATGAGCTGCTAACACTTTTTTTGGAGGTCCTTATTTTGAACATGCAACTGTTTTCACAAGGTTCTATGTAAAATACTGAGTGGCAAGATAAAAGCACTTGTACTGCCCTACATTGTATGGTGGTACTCATCACACAAGCGTACATAAAGACTTAAGACTCTGTATCAGATGTTAATGAACAATTTTTCATGATCAAATGACACAAGATTTCTGCAGTTGTAATGTGAATGAAGTCACTTAGCCACACAACAGTATTCCCTACAAAATGGCAACACTTTTCTTGTAAAGCTTTCACTATGAAATAATTCAGCAGAAACTGCTATCCTGACAGTGCTTATGGCTTTAACAGGATCTTCAAAAGCAGCTCATCTCTCACATAAGGAAGATTGGGGTGGGTATTTAAAATGTTATTGCTGGATCCCTTACGTTTACTGGTTCCTGTGTAAGGTAACCAAACAACAATCTTGCAGAACTGAATAAAATCTCCACAAACACGGGCTGTCAGGTGAGATTACTTCCTGCCATTCAAGCTTTATTTTTATAAATGAACCAAAACAAGTGGGTTTTTCCTTCTTCAAATGGTTGTATATAAAATAATGGGAGTTACATTTTGCTATTGTGCAGTAGCTGCCTGTGTAGTTTTAAGAATTTGACTCCCTTCTTTTCCAAGTTGTCACAGCAGCTGCCCCTGTATTTCATTAGATGTTCTTTCCCAATAGTCCAAGGAAGTGGGCTTCATTATTAGAACTCATTGGTGTAAAATAATTTTCAAGACAGGCATGTGAAAAGATCAAAGCCTCCTCTTCAAAAGTTGCATCGATTTTAGTGATTAGTTGGAGGATGTAATGACCTCAAACACCATTACTTTCTTTTTGTTCTCTACAAGAATCGGTCACAGCTACAGACAGCTGTATTAGCTGGACAGGTTCTTCCTCTAAATTAATTTGTTCTACCAGTTGAGTTCTTGATTTGTGGTATTATATTACATGGAGCACTGATACAATACCAAGGAACCCATGTGGCAACTTATGAAAGGTAATTGGTCCCATGGTGTACAATAAACTATAGCTGCCTGGCTGAAGAATTTGCAGTGTCGGAGCCGAAACCTGTAACCGGGAAAAAAATAGAGAAGGAATACAACCAAAATACACAATAACCAGTAAGAGTAAGCACCACTTCATTATTCATTGCAGAAATAGAAATGTAACAGTTGAGTAGGTTATTTAAAAATAACCAGCCAAGAACCACCCCCAAAACACAAGTGCATACTCTCACTCACACACCCACCAGTAGATTATTTCTTACTACTGCTCAGTCAGTGAACACTGAGCTAGACAGCTCTCAGTCTAATAGTATTTACATCCCATGGGGTCTGGAAAAATCCATTCTGGAGTCTGACTGTCTCCTTTAAGCATCTTTGAGGATTCTGGATTTCCTCCTTTGCTTTTTATTTTGACCTCCAATTTCTAGTCACCATTGGTGATTACTTGTCTTCCTCCTGTACAATTTACACATCGAGATTTCTGTACCAGAAAAGGTGATGTAAAGCAGAGCATCATTATTTCTTAACATCTAAGGTCAAACTGAGGGTTACTTTAATCTATCTGCTTGAAAGCTTATTTTAACTCTGGTGGCATCTGCTGGATTAAGCAGAGAGTTCAAGTATATTTGGAACAAGGTTGATTTATGTCAGTAAATTTTAACTAAAGCAACACAAATGTTGCCAGCACTTGGAGAGAGTTAACTGTGTTCATGACATGCTTGCTATTTAAAGGGTATATGAGGCTATTAGCAGGTCCTCTCAACAAGACAAGAGCTATACTCTATCAGATTACTAGTTTCACCACTATGTAATTCCCACTGAAATATTCTCTGCTCTCAAATCTCTCTCAAAATCTATTCAATGACTTCAAGCAAAGCTTGTTTTGTCCCACCTGCAGATCTCACCTATAAGGGAAACAAGTGCTGCAATTGAGGTAAATTAGCCCTGCAAATCCTGAATAGCCAGTTTTTAGAGTAGCCAGCAGTTCATCTGAACAAACTTCATATTCGTAGAGTACTGCCCTTTTAAAGATTTTATTTATCTTCAATGTAAGATGTGCATCGCTGATTCTGCAGAAGAACGTGGCAGTGCTGTACCTTGGGGCGTTACAGTTTAGGGGTTTTTAGGCTTGCCAATCTTCATACTTAGCTCCATTTGAGCTATAAAATGTCTTCCTGGGGTAAAATGATGCTCAATGACTTTACAGGATGACTTGGGTGCTGAATTTTCAGCTGTCTAAATAGATATTTTATATGCATATTTAAATTCACTTACCTATGTGCTCAGTATTCATTCAGTGAAAACTACCTGAGGAGCTTTGTACAGTAAGTTGGAGGGGAGCATCCCTTGAAAAAGTGGCCATTAAATTAATATATTTGGGGCACTAGCCCAAGATAATTTCCTTAAGATTGAAGCCCTGGGTTCTGCAATCCTCTGGCAAAGAAAGCATCCACTGTTTACAAATGGACTTTGCTTGCTTAAGGAAAGTAAAACCACATCCTTGACTTTTGTTGGAGTGACTGGAGTAAGCAGCATTTCCCTAACAGTTCCTGAAATGCTGCAGTGTAACCAGCTTCAGTTGGCTCTTCGCACCTTCATAAGACTGCTGAGCACAACCTTGTTTGAGAATGGCACATTTTTATCCAAATATTAGATATTAAATGAAATCAGTGTTAAAGTGACCTTTTATCTTTCTAGAAACTGGGAGGGAAGAGTACTACTGATCTTTTTCAAAGTGCATGACTGTAAAGTGATAAAATTGTATATTTTTCATAATGTGGGGAAAGTCTATTTGTGCTGCTTTAGAAATCAGTTTAAAGTTTGATTTCTGTTAAACCTGTGATCTTACAGCCCTACTATATTTTCTGTATATGATTTACAAAGAACTGGAAAAGTTAGCACCTGCTGTTGTGTATATAGCAAAATTCTTTAGACCTTAGCACGCGTTTTTACCTATTATTGAACCACTCTGGCTTTTTTGGGGAAGGAAAGTAATAGTACAGTTTTTTTTGATAATGTGTGTAAAACATTCATTTGAAATATTTTAGTAAAAATGAAGTAAGAGATTGATTGTGATAGTGTATACTTCTAGCTGAATAAAATAAAATACATTCTTTTTAAATAAACTGATGAGTAAGATTTGGGAGACCACTGCTGAAATACCTTGGAGTAAGTATCTTGGAGTAACCATATTTATGACCTCTGAACTAATATGAAAAACCTGGAAATCCACTAAATTCAGAACCAATTTTATTTGGGTAGAGTGAACAAAGTAGTCCCATTTATAACTATGATGTACATCACAGTAGGTTGTTACATTCAGACTTTCACACTTAGAAAATATATATATTATGTACAGGAATTTGCAAATAGGTGTAAACATACAATATTTTAAGATACCAGTACATTCCAAACCAAAACTATCAGCAAGGCAAACACCTCAAAATTATTCCAGTCAGCTAGCATTCAGAATCTCTCTTAAATAAAGCAGCTTTTATGCTTGACATCGTGTTGTTTTACTTACTATTAAAAATGAAGTTTTTTACTATAGATCAAATATCATAGTATCTGGCTATTTTGATACTTAAAAATAGGCACTGATTTCTAGAAGGAAATTTTCTTCTTACTGATATAATTGAGCCAATATGGCTGGTTTTGCTAGTACAAAGTAATCCAGTGCTGGAATAAGTCAAGACAATTTAAACTTAAGTCAAATGTATAAAGTTAGAATAGATACTGCAAAGCTGATTAAAATCTAGAAGCCTATATAACTCACCATAAACCATACTGCAAACAGATCAGCTAAATTTTCATTTAATCTCATTTCTTCATCTAAATTATACAGATTACCCTCCTCTTCATCTTTACAATGTAGGTTTTGGCTATCTACTCCTGCCTAATCAACAGAAAGGTCTATCGTGCAAATTACCTCATGCTATCTCATCCATGTAGCACGTCCAAGTCCTGCTACAGGTGGCATACCAGGTGGTGGAATTGGAGGTGGTACAGGTGGCTGTCCACCCGGAGGAACAGTAGGAGGGGGGTAACTAGCTGGTGGCATTCCCAGCCCTGGAGGTGGATGAGGTGGTACTGCATGAGTTGGAGGCAGTCTTGGAGGTGGGAAATTAGGGTTGTATGTAGGCGGAGGAGGATATCCAGGAGTAGGAGGTGGAATATTGGGTGGGGGGAAAGAGGCAGGGGGTGGAGGTGGAACTGGTGGTGGAGGGTTGGGAGGGTAGACATGAGGATGATATGGTAGATGAGCTGGTGGTCCATAGGCTGGTGGTAAAGCTCCGTATGTTGGTCCTTCTGTTTTCATCATTGACTGGAGACTTTGATAACCCTCCCCTGACATGTAAGAATTTGTAGTAGACATCCCTGTAATATAACTGGTGGGGGGTGGGGGTGGGGGACGATGTGGCAGAGGAGGAGGTTGATGTACTGGGGCAGGATGAGCAGGTGGAGGAATCTGGACCTTTGGCATATCTACTGAGTCCACAGTAGTAGATTGCTCTGGTTCTCCCATTGAAACTGCTGTTGTCAAAGGAGGCTTGCGCTCTGCAAAAGAAAATTTGATTTATTTTTTTGAAGGATAGTGGCAAGAACAGCTTCTGAATACTTCATATTTTTTCCTCCAGTTAAATTAGCAAAATGATACCAAAAATCTTTAGTTCACCCTTCCATTTTCTTTAGTCTAGGCCTCCTTTCTACCTCTTTGGTAGCCCAGGAGGTGGCCTGGGATTAGCCTCTGCACTTCACCTGCCTCCCGTATTGGGAAACATTATTTGAGAACACAGACCAAAGTCTCAAGCTTTTAACAGTCAGTTCTAAACTTGTTTCCAAAGAAAGAGAAAAAGAAAACCGAAGGGTAACTAAGAAGGACATGATATCTGATCAGCTTTGTCCCACTGATTAATTTCAGTGAACTCCATACCTGACACTCTGGAAAAGTTCATAAAAAGGTCAGCATTTTACAGAATTATACTTAGCAGCTTCTGCAAAGAACATGCTTTAAGCTGTCTTCTCTTTAAATAAGAATTGCTTGTTTTCCCCTCTTAATGAAGATATTATAAAGTAAGTAATACCACTAGGATGACTAAGCTAATAGCAACCTCTCTGTATGGTCAGAGAGATTATTAAAATGACCAACAAAAGAGTTTGGGACATCTTGACGTTCATCTTGCTTGTATATATAAGCATCTCCAACACTGTTCAGTGAGAAAAGCTATCTAGAAACACATATAGGGCAGTCATGTCTAGTGGCATACTACACTGTCACTGTTAAACAGAATTTGAGATAAATCCTCCTCCTAGTTCACTTGGTCAAGATGCATTCTTGGTTTCCACCTGACTTTTCCACAGTGCTGTCCTTTATTTTGATAATGTTTCAGTGCTTGTACAATTATATCCTTGTACAAATAAAGAGGAAAATTTCAGGTAACAAGGGAAATAAAACCATTACCTGCCTAAGCAGGATTTCAACAGCAAAATTTCCCCCTAGAAGAGCCACATCATTAAATCAAAAAAGGTGGGTATGCTAGCTGTGGTACTCAAGATGTCAGTAACTTCTAGCTCCTAAACTGTAGCAGGCAATAATTTCCTCATCTGCTCATTTTCAGAACCGTTCTGGATACAAGATGTGTATTAAAGATTTAACAACTGAAGGAATAATGAGCATGGTATTTAGAAAAACTTCATTCTTAATTAGATTTTACCAAATGAGAAAAATTGTCCTACAATATTTCAGGACACTGCTTTTCTCTCTTCTAGTTCCTTTTAGATACTGTCATCTTACAGTTACATTACAGACCATGGTCTGTGAAATATTTATGTCATATTTAAGGGTCACTGGAAGACAGCTAATGCATCAAGGCGCTGGAAACACATTTTTACAACTGTACAGTTTATTTTGCAAACAAAAATGTTCTCTGGCAGAAAAGAAGTCCTCTTTTGAGGTACAGCAAAGAAAGCATCCCCCTTATTGTTTGGAAGTTGCAGTATTCCTGTACGACAGATATAACATGGAAAACTTCTATAGGACAGCTGAAAGCTGCTTTAATAATCTAATATGGCATTTACCATCCTTTTGAGGTTAAGAAGTCCCTTTCAGCCTGTTATTAACAATTAGTTTAAGTGTGCTAGGTCTTTAACTGTTGCAGCTTTGTTCTGCCTTTATCCACCTATTACAGTCTTGTTTCCATTTTAAGTTTTTTACTTCTGTCTGGAAAAGCCTGTGCTACTACGATTTAATTCCCTCTAGAGCTTATCAACCTTGTATTTTTACTTGCCAAGCTTAATCAAGGCAACAAACCCCTGCTCCCACACCATTACCTACCACCACCCAAATGAAAAGTAAAGAAGTTAACAACAAGGATAAATGTGTTTAATAAAATGAAAGCTTACCTGGAGGTGGATGTGCAGGAGGTATTGGTGGATGTGGAGTTTCAATTTTAGGAATTTTAGATGGTGGCGGTGGTTCTAAAAAACATTTGACAGTTTGTGATTGGTTGTTGCTCTACCATATTTTCCAAATTCCAACTCTGGTCTCATGCTAATGATTATCACATCACATTACACAATGCAAAAGTACAATTTACTAGGTATGTTTAATAAAGAAACCTAAAATTAACACCTTTGTACAAATAAAGTGGCATCAAGTATCACATACAAGTCTTCCAAAAGAACATATGCCTACAAGTTCAAGTGACTTTGTAACTAGAGACAAACTGTCCCAACAACAGTATGCAAATGAAGATGAGCAAGTATATGTTTTATAGCCCAAAACTTTAACTTGTAAATAGTTGGAACAGCTCTCAGAAGTTGACCTATGCTCTGCTAGGGAAACTTGTGTCAGAAACCAAACAAAATAGCAATTGGACAGGAGAGAGGAGGGAGAAGAGACAGCTGTCTGGAATCTATCTGCAGACAGGGGAATAAGTGCCAGACTTCCTAAGGAAGTACACCCTAGCTATTCTGAACTGCTTTGTTCCAAACCAGCAAAATGAAGAAAAATTCCTAAACAAACAAAAGAACCAGGTAGGATCACTACAGTGAGCCTACATTTCTTTTGCTACACTATTGACACAAAATGCTGTTTAGTGGCAGCCATGCCAACAGCTAATTACAAACATTGCTGATTACCAGCCACTTACTGGTAGTGCAGCTATTTAATGACATGGTACCTTCAGTCACTTTAAGGCCTCACAGCTTGCTGAGGAACTACTCCCAAATGATGCATGGAGTTAGCCACTGAAAGCTGACTACTTTAGCAAGACTTCTACTGAACAGACTCTATTAAGGGACTCTTTGAGCACAGTTATACTCAATTTATTTCAAGTTCTGTAGTTAGGAACATTTTAAAAACAGTTATAGTATATATTTAAGGTACATTATCAAGATCAAAAGAGTTTAGAACTGCCAAGCCTGTAAGCAAACAAACTAAGTGTGTGTCAGCAAATTACTTATTCTGGTTTAAGCAGTAAAATGGAAGCAACATGAGCAGAATATTAATATTTACCTACTGCCTTTGTTTCTTCTTTTGGAGATACAGCCTGTTTGAAAAAAAGAGATAAAAATAAAACCATTGCAGTCAGTCTCTTCTCCCAGGTAACAAGTGACAGGACAAGAGGAATCGGCCTCAAGTTGTGCCAAGGAAGGTTTAGATTGGATATGAGATAATATTTCTTCATGGAAAGAGTGGTCAGGCACTGGAACAGGCTGCCCACAGAAGTGGCTCAATCACCATCCCTGTAGGTATTCAAAAGATTTGTAGATGTGGCACTTGGGGACATGGTTTAGTGGTGGACTTGACAGTGCTGCATTAATGATTGGAGTTGATGATCTTAAAGATCTTTTCCAACCTAAATGCATCTATAGCTTCTTACAACAAACGCAAGACAAACACTGAACCAAAGTCAAATCACACTGGGGAAGCCCAGCTTAACTAGCAGAACGAAAAGACTGGAAAAATAGCAGGTATTTTATAGGTAGCATTTCCTGCTGTTCCCACTATTGAGTATTATCTCATTTAATGTATTTATCATCCACTGCACGTATGTCATGGGCCAGTTCACTGCTCACTGAGCTGAAAACAAGAGGCTTGGTCTCTGTTCCCGATTCTGCTTTGACCTGTCACTCAACCTTTGCCAAAATCACTTCAGGCTCTTTTGCTTTATTTACCAGGACAGGAGGGCAGTGAAAGTGTTGCACAGTGTAAAACATTTCAGAAGCCTTCAGATGGAAAGCATTGTATAAAATCCAAATGGTATGCCAGGAAAAAAATGTATGCACACTGAACCCACAAACCCTCATACCATCCTTCCAATCACAAGTATTTGGTTGGTTTTTTTCTTGTTTCTCTGTTGGTTCTTGTTTTGTTGCCGTTTTTCTAAACAACCACAGATAAGGGAATAAAAAAATCTTCCCAGATTACACAGTCCCACTGAGATGACTACCTGATGGTTTCTGAGAAAAGCAGAGAACTTCAATGAAATTTTAAGTACAACTATATTTAGAATGAATGATGAAGGTCAGAGGGGTACAATACATAGCTTCTCTGTCTTTTCAGTGAAAACATTTTTAAAGGGACTGTTTATCTCTAGTAGCTTTACCTGCATAAACTGTTCCTCTGTTTCCTTCATTTCACTTTCCACAGCAAGAATGGACACACGCTTCGATCCAACTTGAATAGTACTTTTTCTTAATTCTGATGGGTATTCTCAAAATTTTTCCTGTCTAATTTTTGCCTGCTTGAGGTAACCTCATTCTTATATTCCTTTGATAGTCATTTCAAATTTCCAGACACCTTCCAGCTGCTTTCCTGCTTTTTAAGGACAATCTTTATCTTACCATTTCAAACAAACATACTTTTTTTCTTAGTGACTCCCATGGACTCATCTGCTGCCTTCATTTAACTTGGATGGTCTTTTCTTGACTTTCTAGCAGTAAATTCCATGCCTGTAAAACTGTATCAGTTCTTCCTGCACTTTCAAATAGAAGCAAATCACTACTTGTTGGATCTTTTCCAAAAACCACTAATTTTGTGAAATCAGTTGATCACTTCAGGTGACAAGCAATTCAATTACTGTGCATTGGTTAATACGGAGCAATATTCAAAGAACAACATCAAGGTACACCATTACAGTAGGACAAGAAATTGGAGCAAAATAACTCATGACAGAAAAAACAAACATCAATTTCAACTGCATTTAGGATAAAGAAAAAAAAAGAATCAAAGAGCAACAATTCTCTAATAATGGCAGCTGCTAAAATAGAGATGAGCATTTATTTGGTCATTCCACTGCACTGCAGTTTGTCCAGCAAGTACACCTGAGGGTCATAATAAATAATAATAAATTATCAACATTGTCTACTGTCACAGTGATGGCTATTTAATACCTTCAGCTGATTCTATACAATGGAACTATTCCTTTACTGTTATTTCTATGAGCAATAAAATTGTTCTCCCTAACAATTTCTAGTTTAATCCAAATGAAAATACTATTTCCATCTAATGATTCACCAGTATATTTTTAGTGAAATCAACTGCAAATTTGAGTGCTCTTCACCACTAGAGATATAGAGGATGTGCAGATGCTTTAGACATCCAATATGGGTCTGTAAGTCATGGGCCAATGCCTCAGCTGCTTGAAAGCATCTTGGCTCAGTAGAAAGTAATGGGAGTTATAAGAGTTCATGTAAATTGAAAATTTAGCCTCCAGGAACAAAGTGTATTTCTGTTCTGCAGAAGCCAAAGGAGAAGTCATGCAAAGCCCTATTTATAGAAGCAGACAAAGATTTTAAGTAAGGTTTATGGTACACCTAACTCAAAAACATTTTAGAAGCACCAAGTAAATCTTTCAAACATCACACATCTTGTTCTAAGACTGCCTTCTGGATAAAGAACAATTTTGGATCACCACATTTACTTTTCTCGAATTCATGCTGCTTGTGCTGTATTCCTACAAAACTCCTTTGAGTCACCCTTTGCTTTTTATTTGCTGTGGCTGCTTATAATCTATCCACTATTCTTTTTCCTTAATTATTAGGTGCTGGACCCCAAACTAATTTCAGGAAAAGGTAAGTTTCACTGACGGCTTGGCCAGAGGCAACTGCTCAAGAACAACAGATATTATTCATGCAAAAGCATCACTTTTTTCCACAAGATACTTCATTAACATATGGCATGGGACAAAATCAGTAGTACTGTAATGGTAGATCCTTTACAGGAATGAACAAGCATTCCTAACAACTTCCATGGTGCACACAGGAAAAACAAAAATTGTTATTAACAGTTTCTGATGTGCCAAACTGTCCCAGGCATTTTTGCTGAAGAAAAATAGTAAGAGATCCTACAGGTCTGATAACTCGATGAAAACTTGTGCTGATGGCATAAAAAGTATGAGAAGAAATACATAATACCTGTGAAGAACTCTCACACTTTTCAAGCTAATTATTATCACCTTCCTGTCCTGAACAATGCTAAAGTTCAGTGCAACAACAAAAAATTCCAGTGTAGTTCTTTTCCTCTAGTAAGCTCAATCTTGCATTTATAAGACCAAGGTTTTACAGAGTTACATTTTTGTCTTTTTTGGGAGTCTGCCATCAGGAAGATGGTGCACTCTTCCAATTCCATTTCATTCCAATATTTGCTGCTTACCCCTAGTTTTTGGTTTGTTGTTTTTAGTTTGTTTTGGTTTTTTTCCCCCCGATGTCTGTTCTCTAGTTGGGGTATGTATTAATTACAAGTTAGAACAAAAGTTAGAACAAAATTTACATCCTAAATGGACTTGTTCCAAAGACTGTACTTCTGAAAACACTCCTCTTGCTAAGTACACATGAAAGAAGACTTGAGTAACATTTTTTTTTTAACTTACACATGAAAAAAAACCCCAAAAGTATAGATTAAAATCTGAAAGCTTCATTGGAACTTGATGGTTGTTGAAAAGTGGTCACAGTATTTGTGACACTATCCAACTGCTAATGTAGCTTTTTGTTTTCAATTATGATTTGATATTTATTATGGGCAAAGTGAGGCTATAAAGTATGATGATTTATAGGCTGCTACTATTAAAGGATTATTTTAAAAGACTTTTTTCCAAGAATTTTGACGTAACTTTAGAAGTCACTATTCTGTTAATATTAGTAATCAAAGAGTCAAATAATGTCCTCATCAGCATTGTGCACATCTCTACATTCAGCACAAGAAACCCTCCCTAAATTAAACCTGCTTAATAGAGAAAATAACGAAGTTTGATAGCCCAGAACCACAAACACTGAGAACTTGAATAGCTCATGTTAACTTAAAAGTCTCTCCATAGCTTTTGGCTCAAATGGAGTAAGAATGTCATAGGCCAGAAGTGTAAAGGCTGTTCTGCATTAACAAAGTTGCCACATAACCAAGGAAAATCAACTACACAGAATTAATTACAGGGCCCATTCTTAAAGCAAACACAAGTCTGTTGCACATTGTGGCCTTTAAATCAAATGGGCATAAGATCAGCCTGAAAACAAATTCCAAGTTAAAGTTCAACTTACTGCTGGTCTTTTAATCTGTCTAGGAGGACTTGACTGGGGAGAGGGCTTTTTAGGTTGCTGTGCTTGTGTTTGCTGCTGCTGCTGTTGTTGCTGTGCTGACTGCTGCGACTCTTTCTGCTGCTGTGTCTGGGATTGCTCTGAACTTTGGGATTGCTGGGACTGCTGTACTGTAGGTGCCTGGGGTGTAGACTGAAGAGATGGTGGCTGCTGCAACTGATGAGGAGTATGATGAGGCATTTGCTGTTTTCCCTGTGAGTATAGATCCAGGATCTGATGACAGATATCTTAATAATAAAGAAAGAAAATTCCAAAGTATTACAACCTTATAATGTACAAGTGTATATTTAACACAATCATCAACTCTGATTTTTACTTTTTACATCAACTTTGGAAAAATCCATTGCAAATATTATTCATCATTATAATGAATAAAATAACTGTTTAAAAGCTGATCAATTTTCAATTTATACTTGCATTTCTGAGTTTCTTCCGCCTATCCTAAGCAATATGGATATGCACACCTTTCAGAAGAAGAATACAGTTTCTTGGTAATAATTCACTGTATGTGATTACTGTGTGCTGGAAGAGCCAGGTAACCACACTCGAAGGACAGTAACACAGCAAGAAAGCAAGTGGAAGATGATTATATGTTAAAATATACATGCCCAGTTAGGCCAGTCAGAAAGGTTTCAGGAAACTAAGCAAAGGACTAGTACTAAATTCTTCTTCCAACACTGTACAAGCTAAAGGTCCCCCATAATCTGTTCATTATTCATGGTATATAACAAAAACCCTCTATCCTAGTATAATTTGGTCAAATAGATCAATTATCAATGGGAAAACCACTGGAAATCAGGCTCCATTAGTTCCAAAGTTTGTAGAATCACTTATTTAAAATGGGGAGTAGATAATCATTAAAAGAATAGAAAACACATCATGATAATTCAGGCTAATTAGATGTGCAATAAACTATACAAATTGTAAAGCCAATATTGAACAAAAGACTAATCATGATGATTAAATATGCTTCTAAGCTAAGCCAGTTCAATTTAAAACCTGATTAAGGCATAGCACATTCGACCTGAGTTACATACTCGACTCAAGATTATTTTGACTGAAATATAGATAAAAAGCTATTTGCATTTATTTGACCTAGACCACATAGTTACAAAAAATGCTGTGGGAAACAGTTTTCATACCTTCCAAAACATCAACAGGAACATCTTGGACAAACTGCTCCCACCATCGTCTGTACATTGGTTTTGATGTCCATTCCTGTATTTCAAACTTACACAAACGGCCTGCTAAGTACATAACTGCAACAGCTATGATCTCAGGCTCCCACTGCAGGGACAGCGTAGTGCAGAGACTGCAACAGAAAATAAACCAAAACAAAATACAACCCTGGAGATTACCTGATTGTCCAAATGCACTTTAATGTACAGCAGCTATAATTAACAGAGTATAAAATCCAATCACAATTCTAACTTCTCAGGCAATTTTAATTAAGAGCCTTGTTGAACAATAGAGTTTACAAAACTAAAATATTTCTGGACTACTACTGTTATGAAATAAGGTCCCAAATCAGATTTTACAGCTTCCAAATGTTTGTCAATAAAATGTAAACAAATAAAAAAAACCCCAAATCCCACAGAACAGCCAACATGAATGTTGTATCATATGTATTTATGTATGAACGAAGTAAAGGAACTTATCAAGAATAACACAAGCTTTAGAACAACATATAAAAGGTTATTTCTTGAATAGCCTTTGTTAAAGCTAATGCTAAAATAATCGATGTCATTGGTATTATTGATACTGAGTTTCTGTCATAATCAGTTACTATTTCCTGATATCAATTTTAAATTATGAAATTTTTTTCTCTTTTGTCCATAAATTCTGTAACGTATAACCTGCTTACAGAATTTAAATCCAGCCAGCCAAATGAATTAACTGTGGCTGTATAAGAACAGAACCCCCTGTCCTAAAGGCCTGTAGTGCAAAGTACAGAATTATTTTCCCAGGATCCTACAGAGTAAACTTCTAATATGGTAATATAGTGCTTATTAAGTAAGCACAATATAGTCTCTTCACAACAGAGATAATTATTACACATGATTTGAAACAACCTCTCCAACTTCATGCAAGTGTTTTCCTGAAGTGCATTTTAATTGTTAGGTTTTTTTTAATATTAAACACTATCTATTTCCAAGTATAATGGTGTCCAAACTTTGATAGATAAATTACAGTAGTTTGATGTATTTAAGAGTGGCAGTCATGCAAAAATTTTGTTCTACCTGTAAGATCATCATCTGCAAGACTGACAGCAGCTGAAGTAAACGTCTCTTGAGATCCACATTAATTTTGGTCAAATTCATTTGGAGAGTTTAGGTGGTATCTACAGAATCTGAACTCACACAGGGCTAATTCAAATGAGGCATACGATTAAAAATGCACCTCTTTTTTTATGATGTTCTACTGCTGTAGGCATGACTGAATGCCATGTAGTCACAACTTCTGGACAGTCAGACCACTTACAAATTTTCTTAAGGGTTTGCTATGGAAAGAAAAAGTAATATTTAAGTCCTTAAGTTAATGAATTAACTTGCCCAGCTGTGTAGAATCCTCCTGAACAGGACTAAAGTGTGTCAAGTTGTTTGATTTTTTTCAATACCATGAGAAGTGGTTTTACACGTGCTCCCATTAATTGATGTGATTCTTACAAGTTCATTATTCAAGAAATTGTAAATGCAGTGCTAAAAGTTATATTCCTCAGTGAATTTGATGGCTACTTCACTATTACCAAAATATCACATTAAAAATAAATTGATGAACGTGATGGAATTAAGATATTACTTCTTTTTCTCAGAATGTACCATATATCATAGATTTGGCAAAAAGCCAATTTGTATCCAGGAGGTTTTAATGCAGCACGAAATTAGTACCACAACACTGCAGAGGTCTTACTGGCCTACTTCATACTCATTCCAGATTCTGTGCTCAATGGAACTATCATGGTAATGATGGAAAGAAAAACTGAGGAACATGACCAAGAACACATGTAACAAGCAGAAAAAAAATCAAATATTTGTCAAAAAATATCCAATACCAGAACAAAGTAAGCAACAGTAACTATTTCACTTTTAGAATGTTTCCTAGGTGTATCTTACCTGTCATTGACAAATGTCCATGCCATTTGAACCAGTTTTTGAATTTTATTTTTGTCTCCTGAAAAATGATCGGAAAAATATTAGGACATAAAATTAGGAGGGACAAACAGCTGGAAGTAGAATATTCTTGTAGCGTTAATATATTAAGTTTTGGAAATCAGTAACAGGCATTAATTGCTCACCCTGCAATATTTTACCTTTGAGTTGTTTAGCATACTTGAGAAGAAATTGGTATGGATGTTCCACTTGCAAATCAAACTTTATTGTTTGTAGTAAGATTCTTTCAAGTACCATCACTTCTTCCTATAGAGTTACAAAGTAACCACAGTATTATTCCTTCTTTCACTCAAAAATACTTCATGCTAGTAAAGAGCATGACTACACAGCACCTCCAGGCAGCCATGTTTGTCCCCAAGGAGAGTAGAAAGCTCTCCAACTTATAATATTATATTTTAAACTCATAAGATACCTTTTCTTCACATTTATTTGAGTGAGGACAGGGGATGTGGTGCTTAAAATCCCTGTTCCTCTGCAGAGGAATGAACTGAACAAGACACAGCATGAAATTACCAGATACAAAATCACAACAAAAATATAAGCTCTTCACACACACACATTTCCCTCAAAAGTTTCAAGTCCTTCTGCTATTTAAAATAAGCAAATTTTAAGAAAAGCATAGTTTTGCTAAGTCAATACTGTAAACAAGAAACTTCTCAGTACTTTTGAGATCCAGTTCGCTTATTTAAGATTCACAATTAATTACTTCCTAAAATCCCATTCAGATCATTTATGATTTACGTCTTGGTAACATTTCTTGCTCTGACTGAAATGACTCAAATTTACTTTAATTTGCAAAACAGTATCAGAATTTACATGAAATAAAATGCAAACTTTTAATGAAAACAATTATTCCAGTAAGCTCCCAAAGCTACTTGTATTATGAAGAATTACTTTCATAGTTACCAATCACATTACCCAGAAGAGCCATAAATGCATGCTGAATATCTAATTCAATTTAGAACAACTGAAAATCACTCAATGCTCTATTGAATGTGTGCACTTTACTACAGTACAACAGGATGAAATCAATTTCAACATGAGTATTTTTACCTTTGGGTCATCTCCAAACTGCCCAAACTGTACGTCATTTAGCAAGCTACGAGCTGTTTTAATTATGTCTTTACATTTCTTGGGTGTTTCTTCAACCTTTCCTGCTAGGAAGAGACAGCAGGCTCCTGTCACCTAAAAAAAAGGAAAGTACTTTCAAAAAGTGGCCTGCATGTAGATATGCAATACAGTGTAGCATTAGAAAGGCACTGTCAGTTTCCATTAACGGTTTTGTAGAAGTCTCCAAGACTTAATCAGCATAATAATTTCTAATTGCAATATAGTGTTAAACTTCTATTTTCTCAGAAGAAAAATATAGAATTTGGAGGACTGTCTATTTTATACAACTTCATTTCAAGGTCAGAAACCCAAAGCACAATTTGTCCCGGTTCAATGTTGTTTGTAAAGCAGTATTACACTTCTTTTTTTCTTTCAGCTAATATAGAAGTGCCAGCACTACAGGTGCCACTCCTAAAGAACAATATCAGCAAGTCATAACTGCAGTGTCAATGCATTTCTGAGCATAAACAGAAATGTGTAAACAGGGAAGAACAACAAATTTTAAGCTGTAATAATTAAAAGACAAAATGCTAATTTTCCATCTTTCTGTAGTGAACAGCAGAAGTAGTATCCAAGTGACTACTCACAATTTCACATAGTCCCTGCCTGGTGCAATCACTAAATTAAGTCATCAATATTCTAAATACTTACATATCTTGGGAACTGTTTGAAGGAATGAAACATATAAAACCGATGGAAATAAATTATTCCGGTTGCTAGAGTGTCATAATGTCTGTGGTGCAGATTAAGGACCTTCAAACAGCACATAAAACAAGTTTAATACCAAACATGCACTAGGGATTTTGCTTTATCAAGTATTTAAAGTAACTGGCTGTTCAGTGACCAGTTAGAAAACACTGCAAGTAAAACAAGAGCTCTAGGAAAAAAAAAAAAGGCACAAAAGTCGTTAAAGCTGTGTAAATACTATCATCAGGCCCAGATGCAGCTGATATCTAAAGCATTTGTTGTAAGTGTGCAAAGTCCTGATTGTACTTACAAGAGGATACACATAAGGTCATCCCTGTGTTGCACCATACCTGCTTCAGAGAAGGTCAAATCTAGCAGTAGGCACACAAAGGAACAGAACAATTATCACTTCACATTCAAGTGCTGGTGTGGAGGAAAGTTACTATTCATACCTACAAATGCAAATAAAATCTGACTGTGCTCCCTATTCTTCACTTTCAGAAAAGTAAACATTTTGTCTTCACCATGCTTTATTAAAGAAAGAACTAAGGAGATTAAAGAAACCATAGAAATATAGGAAGCAGAAAATTTAAGTGGCCATCTATGAGAGAGTGGGACAGTTGTGAGACCTTACACACAAACCTGTAAATCCCAAACCAATGACACAAAAAGCAGCCACCAAAGACTAAGACTGGGGAGACAGAGGTTAGAAGCCTCAAAGGCACACTCTAGAAACTGAAGGGAAAAAAAAATTGAGATGTCATGTAGATTCATATAGTGAAACACTGAGTTTCACAACTCACAGAAGTTACTCTTAATTGGAAAGTTTGTATCATCTTACTTCCCTATGGCCAAATTGAAACCTTGTCTATCCAATGAATAGACAGAAATTGTGTAGGAACACATTACATCAAAAGGCAGATAAACACAAATATATTTTTAATTAACAATTAAACACCTGAACACTGAGCATGCCACATTTCCTGTACATTTTATTGTGAAAACTCACTATTCCTAAAGACATTTCATACCAACATGAGTTTAAAGGATACAGCCCTAAACGTGTTCCCACATCAAATATGAATCTGGCCCCTTCCCTGCGGTATCGTGCTTCTGTAGCTGGATCAAGCCCTTCAAGCTGTGATGGTGTGTGTGCCAAATCTTTCTTATCCCAGTACCAGCATGGCTTTGTATGGTCCAGGTTTGCCAAGTTTACAGAAGGGCTGGAATTTTCTTTATTCTCCTTCATTTATTAAAACAGAATTGTTTTTGCTTTTTAAATATTCAAAAATGAAGTCTTCAGAGATTCACTTCAGGACCTTGAAGAAAATAAAAAGGGAATTCTTTAAAAATGGAGAGAACTGACCCCTCCAGTTCCTGCTCAAAGGGGAATAAAAAGGAATAGTGCTTAGCCTTGCTGGTTGGAAAGAACTTTTTCCTATGCTCAAAAACAAGTAATAAAGAACTTTGCCTTTATCCTCACCATATATTGCAAATACAATCAAAGAAAAAGCCATAGGTTATCCTTGCTATTACCTGTTTAATAAGGAAACTTCAAGAATACATCTCTAACAATATCTGCTATTTCTTAGTAGAACAACTTCCATCTACTTTGTCCATAAAAGTAGGGGGGAAAAAATCATTGATGGCTGCAGAAAGAATTGAAAAGTTAGGGGGATTAGCTGACTATTGGTAAGTAGGAAAGGCACGGTGAGGTGAGCCTGAACAGCCATTTAAATACCTGCCTGCTCCCAGGGACACCCTGAGCAGCAACCACTTGGCAGAAGTTTTGTAAAGTGATCTGTACTTGTATTACTTAAAGAAAAAAAGGTATCAGTGTTCTTTCACATATCAAGATTAAGACAACCCAAACAAGGCAATGGAATACACTCTAAAAGTCTCCTACTTGCCTGTGTTTACCAGCACTGCTCTGCAGAAACCTTTTTAGTGTTTGAATTATGACAGATGTTCAGCCATGCCTCAGTTTACAGAATGAATACCTGCTGCCTTATTTCTTTCAGGCACAAAACTGCTCTTACTAAAATTCAACTAACCACAGATACTATGCACAGATTACTGCAGTCACCTGCAGTGATTAACATATGATGCAATATATTCGCTCTAAGCAATAGTCACAGAAAGACCCAAACTTAAAACTCTTAAAATCAGCTACTATTTTTCGAGACGTTTCCCTGCGGAAAACGGAAGGAGGATCACATGAACGGCCACAGAACGATGCCTACAATCAGCACCTCGCTCACCTTCAAAAAGTTTCTCTTTTTCAGAATAAAGGAAACTGTCTTTGTCTCACGGTGGTTTTGGAATCACCTTCACAATTCGCGGTATCAGTCACAGACAGATCTAAATTCTGTCACAAGAAAAAGTAAATGGCTACTAAAAACTATTTCCAGAGACAACAAAAGCGCGCCAGGCCACAACCACGCACTCCCATAATATTTAACAGAAAGATACTATTTTTTGTAACTGTAATGATTCTTCCTCCTTACAAAATACTCCTAATTCCTAAAGCTCTTAAAACCCAATTAACACTAAAAGCGCCTGAAGCGACAAGCTCTGCTTCTATAAAGGAGCAAAAGCATTTCCGAATACAGAACCAGGAACGAAAATTATCACCCGCAAACATCTTAAATGAACCATCTCAAACGTCCCAATTCAGACCGCAACGCCCGGAAATAAGAACTTTTCTCTGCCTTTTCACGCACCCCATTAAACTGGAGGAGAGTTTCAGAGCTCGATCGCGGCTTTTTTATACCTTACCTGAGACGAACCCGCCGACCACGGCTCCGCCCCTGCAGCCCCAAACCCGGCCGAGGATGCTCAACTCTTCTAAGACCCGCCCGCCTATCCGCCCGCCCGCCCGCCCGCCCGCCGTAGACGGGGCTGCCGGTGCCCGAGGAGGCGCTCGCTCCCCACCCCGGCCTCTCCGCTCCCTTCCCCCCTTCCCCATTCGGCGGCTGTCGCCGGTGAGCAGCCCGTGCGGGTCCCGCGCACTCACAGGGCTCGCGGGGAGCGGGAGCCGCACCGGAGCGCGGGGCCTCTCAGCGACAGCGCAGCCTCCGCGCCCTGCGCGCCGCCATCTTGGGAGCCAGGCCAGGCCGCGCGCTGCGTCATCACGTTGCAAAGGCGTAGCGCGCGAGGACGGAGGCCCCGCCAATGGGAAGCGGCGGCGCCCCCCCCGCCTCCCACCCAATCCCGCTGCGTCAGCGGCTGCTGACCGCGGCAGGAGGCCGACGTGCTGCCGTGTCCTAGGAGCGGACCAATCGGAACGCTAAAGGGCAAGATCGCGAGCCTCAGAAACCAATAGAGACCTGAAGGCGGGCCAACAGGGACTGAATGGCAGCCAATGGGAGCTCTGCCGTGCCCTTTCTGAGGCTGGCCGCGAAGGATTGGCCGCCCCGGGCGCGGGTGGGGCGGGGCCTTCCGGCGGGCTGCAGCTCGGCCAATGGCGGCGGGGGGCGCAGAATGGGCGGGGCCGGGTGGAGCCACCGCCTCCCCACCGCGGGCAGCGGCGTCCGGCGCGGGCTCGGGTACGCCGCTCCCTTGGGCCAGGCAGTGAGCGGCCGCTGGCGGGAGGTAAGGCGGGGCCTGCCTGGGCTTCCTCCCCTGGCTCCCTCCCCTGCCTCAGCCCCTCGCCCCGGCGAGCACGGGCCCTTCTTCTCAACCCTCCGGGCGGAGTGGGCTCACCCCGCTCCGCCGCCTCCTTCCCCGCAGGAGGGGCCGCTCTTTCCGGACACCCCCTCCCGCCGCCCTGGGGCGCGCTCCGCGGGCCTTACCGCCCCTGCCTTCCCCCGCATGCCCGGTGCGGGGCTGGTCCGGGCCTCCTTCCCCTGGGAGCCGCCGCCTCCGTCGCGGCTCGCCCCGGCCTTTCCCTCTCCCGCTTCCCGGCCGGAGGGGCCGGCGCTGCCCCGGATCCGCCGTGGACGGGCCGAGTTCTAACCCGGCCTGCGCGGGTTTCTAATGAGCGAGGCGGCGGCACTGGCGTTTTCACTTGCCCCATTCCCCATCGAGAGGCTGATAGAAACGAAAGTAAAGTGAATGGCTTAAAACTGCTTTCCCCGTGATGTAATTCCTTTTTTTTTTTTCCTTCTTTTTTTATATGTGATACGGTTTGAATACTCTCTGCTCCTACTTCAGCTTCCCTTAGAGCCCCCCATACCCCCGGCTCTCGGGGTCTGGCTCAGGGGCGGTTCTGCGGGTGTGTGGCTCCTCAGAGCCCTCCTCTGGCTGGAGAAGAGTGCTCTGGTTTCTTTCCTTTCTCACCCGTCTGCAGATTGCTTTAGTAAAGGCATTAAATTTTTTGAGCAAAAAAGAGGAGGGTGGTTAAAATTAGAATAAATCCTAAGCTAACTATTGACAGAGGTGCTACTCCTGAAACAGCCTCGGTGTTTCAGCCTTCCCCTATTGCTGCAACAGCTGCCCGTCCCATGAACCCTTCCTCCTCTTCCTTACCCCGCAACACTTGATTAGAGCTGCTTGAGCTGAGGCTGTGCTTTGCCTTCAGTTCTTAGCAAATTTCTAAATTTTGAATTTGGCATGCAGTTTTTTTAACCTACATTCAGCTATTAGAACAAGCTCAGTTCTTCCGTTTAGAAGTTGTCCCTCACAGTTCAAAGCTACTCTTGCCCCAGATTTGATATCTGCTCTTCTGGATGGACTTGTCCTTGGAACCTAAGCTTGCTCCTGAGATCAAGCTGAAAGTGGATTGTCTTTGTCCGTTTTAAGAGCATGTAACGTAGGCGCCTGTCTAGTCAAGTGACAGCTTTGTTCTCTGAAAATTGCTACAATGTTAGCTTAATGTCTCGCAAGTGTTTCTGTTTTCAGTTGTAATCTCATAACGGTCAAGTGAAACATAAGTATTTTGTCGGTGAGTAAACAACTGTGGCATTCTGTATGTCCACTATCAAGTTCCCGGTATAAAATAGTAAGCCAGTGTACAAGTTGTTGGAGGGAAAGGCATGATGGGCTCAAAGCCTTCCTGATGTTTTTGCTCAATTAAGTAACTTAATATGGTAGAGATTCAAGCATGCTGGCTTGTGCCTTAATAAAGTTTTTCGTTATGTTTAGCAGAGATTGAAGTATATATTTACACTACAGTTGAAAACACATTCTTGATGTGTGCTGAGAAATAGATTTAGGCTGTTGGCGGAAGAAATGCCACAAACCCCCAAATCATTTGTAATCTGTATATCACTATTTCCAGAGATGGCCTGATCTATTGCTGAAGTCAGATGTGCCTTGAAATAGAATTCTCATTTCAGTATGGTACAGAAATTTAGAATAGACCGTATTATGCCTCTGTATGGAAAAGTGTACATCTTGATGATGTTTTCATTGTAATAAATCTATTTAGATGTGTCTACTGTATCTATGTAATACTTCATCATAGTGGTACTGGTTATGTAGTTAATTTGATAAATGGTGTATTTTTCAGAAAGTATTTCAGTGATTGCTCTTTGGAAAAGGAAAAAAAGGCACTTTAAGGGTACTGGAGGTCTTAATGGATCTGTACCTTTTCTAGTAGGCTGCATGAGACCTCATGATGCCTGTGGCTTAAGCTTTTGGAAGCCTGGATAGTTCTGTTAAGTCTGCCCATACTGATGGCTGAATTCAGGGTGGTTTGCTTTATTCTCATTTAGGAGTTATATTGTGTAAAGTGAAGTTAATATTTTCTAAATTAAGAACATTATTTAGGAACATGCAGATAAAGACAGTACATAAGGGTTTTTAATTAATTCTGCTCTAAAGGAATTAGGAAAAGAAGGTTTGTGGGAGTCTTCAGGAGAAGAAAAATTCCAGCAAAGAAATAAAATTACAAAAGTGAGTTGGCAAATTGGTAGAGTTTATCAGCAGCTTTTCTTCAAAGAGTAAGTACTTTTTCTTTTCTGGTCAAATAGCTGTCTGAGGATCTGATTCAAGAGAGAGGCAAGGGAGTTAAGAGCTCATTTCCTGTGGATAGTTAGTAAACTATCTTCCCTAGAAAGATCAGTCAGGTGTTGATAGTAAGAAGCACTGCATCTGCTTAAGAAAGCTTTAATGGGAGGTCAAGGGGTATAGGGACAAACCTATAGTAAATAATAGTTCCAAATTAGCAAGATGATAAAAGTGAATTAAGAAATATATACTTTCTTTTGAGCTGTTCTGTTGGATAGGTACTTTTTTTTGCCCTTCAGCATTTTGTACTATCTTCAAATTAATAATTTCTTACCAGAAGTTTATGTTTAATGCATGAGGCAGTCTTGTGCTTAGCATCTAGCTAGGTTCAACTGAGTGGGGAGGGAGATAATGTCAAAATGACAGGACTTCCTTTTTTTAGTAGATTAGTAGTAACTCAAGCATCTGAAATCAGAATACTGTCAAGACTTGTTTTCTTTGATTCCAATTATAAGAATAAATGTCTTTTGGAATTTGATTCCCAACAATTAGCTAAATTTTTTGTAGTTGGTGTTTTTTGTAAGTGTATCAAACAAATATTTAGCTAATTTTAGTAGCTTATTTTGATATTATTCTGCAGACTGGCTTCTTCCCAATATCACAGCAAGATTTTATATATCATCATTCTTTCCTTAACCTTAAACTGTAATAGGATTAGCAGTTCTTTGCAGAGTAGATGTATGCAGTGCATAAAGCAGTGATTCAGTCTTTCCTCTTTTCCAGATGCTTTAGGCTTGTGCTCATGGTTGACAAACCTGTGGTGGTGCAGCTTTTTATAGTAAAGGGAATTATTTGCTTCTGACCATCCTTTGCCAGATAACTTTTTAAAGGCACTTCAGCTTCCTAGGTTTGGCTTTAGATGACTAATAAAGTTTTTAACTTTGACTGTTATGTAAAATATGAGAAAGAAACTCTCAAAACTAAAAGTACAGCAGGAGTTCTTCATTGTTCCATAAAAATGGCCCATTAGTGTTGTCTGGCCTTAGTCTTGTGTATTTGGAGCTAGACTTGCCTTTGTAGCAATTAAGAGGTGACTTCATGCCCAAGTGCATTTTAACATTGCTTTGCATTTTTGGTCTTGCCCTTCTTCTGCTTTAACCTTCTTTGCTCCCTTTTTCTGTTTTTAGCTGCTCTGCCCTACATAGCCTCTTGCTTGCATCTCTTCTAACAAATGACTATTCCAGTTGCTCCTTCTATCCCTGCCCTTCCTTTACCACTTCTCATGCTGTTCAGGTAGTCTGTTAATCCTTTTTCTTTCTGTGAAATAAGGAAGAATTAGAGTAATATTCTTTCATTTCAGTTTTGGGTTCTGTGACCAGGCCAGAGCAGCAGACCTGCAGGAGGATTCCACCTGTATGTCTGACCTGGGCTGAATCATGTAGAGATGTGAATGACTGTGCTTGAGATCAGTTTTACCTCCAGTACTGGTTTTTACAGGCTCTGAAGTTGGCCAGATGTAGGTAATAGATAAAGCAGTAATAAAGGAAAAGACATTTTTCTGAGAATGTAGCTGCTAATGTCCTATTAGGGATCAAAATACAATATAACTTCTAACTTGAGAGGTATTGTTTTACTTTTCAGAAGGATTTTCTGAGACTGATGTTAAAGTCTGTTATGTGCTGGAGGATGACAGATTAGTTGGCTTATTTTATTCTTGGGTATATTCCCAATATCTCTGAAGGAATTGGCTAACCTGTCCTGGAAGTGCCTACAGCAGTGTTTGAACACATGGTTTTCAACTAGTGTTTTAATGTAGACCAAAATAGTATCTGTAATTGAAGATGGACTGTAAAGTCTGTCAGTTCTATTCAGTTGCTTTTTTATTGATTCTGTTAAGATACTGATAACCTGCACTGAAAGGAGAGGAGTCAGTCTCTGGTGCTCTTATGTTAGCTGTCTGAGTCTTGCCTCTTGCGTGCAGATCAGTCTGTAGGTTGTCCTTTTCATATGTTTGTATGTATTTTAGAATATGATAAATAGTGATGGCATAATCTCAATAAAACAAAGTCTCTTACATTACAAATCCCACCTGTATTTCTTAGTTAATCTTGCTTTGTCTTTAATGCTTTATAGCACTACTGCCCAAAGTTTTCAAGTAGTGTTTCAGAAGAGTAGGAAGAGGATGTGGTGTGTGGATTTCTGCTTCCATGTATTGCAAG